ACACACACACACACACACACACACACACACACATATATATATATATATATATATATATATATAATATATATAATAAATTATATTAGTTTAAGTACGTACTTCTTTATACAAAGATTGTGTTTCGTCTTCTGTCCAACTGAATGACGAATACTTGTTCTGGAAGTAAAAAATAAACGTTGCGAGAGAGAGTCGGTGGCAATAGTCATCTTTCTACATATTCTTCCATCGCCGTTAACGTGTTGTATATGTATGTATTACCTACATATATTTATCAAACCAACAGCATTCTTGCATTGTGAATTGTCAATTTTTCTACATTATAAAAAAATTATCTTTTTGAACGTTACCTTATAGGAAGATCTTGAAAAAAAGGAGACACCACAATCTTCAGGTTTCGAGGAAACCATACCAATCGTTACCGTGGACCATGCCATCAGACCAACACCTAAGATAAATAATTTCTTTAATTAGTAATTAATTTAAATAAAAGAATCCTCACTGATTTGGATGATTTTTAGATATGTTGTATCAACATTTTGAATGAATTTTTCTTTTATATATTACCGTCGATCGATTTTTAATTTTCAAAATATTTGCAAAAAAAGATTGTTATTATTATATAATTAAATTTCTTTTATATCTATGTGTCCGCAGTTGCATGTATATAAACATGCAATAACCAGTTATTCTCTTATATTAATTTAATTATATAATTATATTACATTAATTTAAACACATGAAGTGAGTGAAAGACTAAAACAATCTATTTTTTCATGCATTATAATAAATTTAAAACATTTTAAATTAATTTAAACGAATTCGAAGAATCTATGAAAAATAAAATATAAATTTTGGATAATCGCTATTATAATGATCGAAATTCTAATGATAAATACCAAAAATAATACTGATATTCATTATAATTTCAGTCATTGTAATTTTATGAGAATTATTTTATATTTTATTTTTGCAGTTTGAAAAATGGAATGTTTAAACTTGATATAAGATATTTTAAGCCATAACTTATAATCAAATAGTTTTTTGACCGATCTACTTGTTATATATTTTGGATCCGATATTTAAAAAGATAAATAAATGGTGATCACGCACATTCAGTCACTAATGTACATATATATATATATGAGAAAAATTCTATATAACAATCTTTATATTCTAATAATAATCTTTTTTTATAAATATCTTGAAAAAGTCAAGTGACTGTAATATACAAAAGAAAAAATTGTACAAAATTTTTTTATAATATCTAAAATTATTAAAAGATGAGGATTTCTTTATTCCGAATAATTATTATCTCTTTTAAAATTGTTATGTTAAAGCGATATATTTTCCATATATAGTAAATTTATACATTTATGGAATATCTTTGAAAAGTTGATTCTAAAAATCAAAACAAATCAAAACAAATACAAAAATTAAAGTTATTATTAATTATTTATTAAATTATAAGCAATTTATGTTTGCATCAAATGAAATGAGATATAATATAATAGAATAAATGAAAATTCTATCTCTATTACTGTGTCATCTTAATTTCGTTTCATTTAACATAAAACTTAAATTACTCAATAATTTAATAAAACCTCAATTGATATTATATATCAACTTTGTGTTGATTTTTATAATCAACATTTTTACGAATATATTAATCCTTCTACATATATGTATAATTGAATAAAATGATAAATAAACATATATTCCAATAATATATTCCAATAATTACCGATTTTATTATATAACTCTGGCATATAAAGTTCTGGTTTTTCTCTATAAAATAAATGATATTCGGCTTGTTCTACAATTGGTGTGACACAATTAAATTGTCGGCAATTCGTATAAGCTTCCATAATTTCGACTGGAGTCCAACGAGATGTTCCCCAATACATTACCCATCCTTTGCTTATTACGTAATTCATAGCACGTACTATCTCTGAAAGAAAGAAAACGTTAGAAATATTAAATTTACAATCATATTTTTAATTATTTAATAGTATTGATATTGATGTGTAATGTAGTAATTGCAACGTACCTTCCATGGGACACATTGGATCTACTTTATGAATCATTACAATATCGATATACGATAATTGTAACCTGACTAAAGATGCTTGGACTGATTCGATTATGTGTTTCCGTGATAATCCACGACCTTCCGCTCTACGATCAAGTTTTATAAATTATAAAATTTTACATAAAATATTAAATAGCATTTGTTCAATTGTTCAATAATTTGACAAACTGACAAACA